ATTATTTTATATAAAAGCAGCATATAAAAGTATTAAGGAGATATCAAAAAACCAATATTTACGATATTTTATATTTTATTCTTAACAAAAAATTTATTTAAGGAGATGTTCAAAATAATGCCCTTTAATACATTTTTGGAGACGATATTTAAATGATTCTCTTACCCTTTCTGTCATTTCTGAATTTATACTTGTATGTGCAGCCAAAATATGCACTTTCATTCTCCTGTGTAGTTGGTACATCGTTGTAAACAAGTTATGAATTTCAAGGTGAGATATTTCACATTCCATAACATGTATTGGTGGTACAATACAATGTAGATAAACAGTTCGCAGTTTAATATTTCCTCAGACTTTCGCTATATCAGATTTGAAGTATGAGTGATTATACGAAAGAGGAAAGAATGGAGATGCTTCTTATTTATGGTGAAAATAGAAGAAGTTCTTCAGAGACGTGAAGATTATACGGCCAAATATCCTGAAAAGCATTTACCATCTTGCGCTGCTTGTGGACGTCTTGTTAAAAATTTTCGTTAATCTGGAAGTATTTTGTTTGTTCAAACAAAAAAAATCGATCTCGTTTGCAAACTAATGAAGCAGAAGTTGCTATTTTAGTTGCAGTTGCACATAATCTACATATCAATTCTCGACAAATACAGAGGAATTCTGGTATTTCAAAGACAAGTATTTTACGCATTCTGAAATGCCTCATTTCATCACATTTCATTACATTAAGAACTTCATGGAAATGATTATGTTAATCAGTTGGAATTTTATCAATGGGCGCTGCAACAGTTGAAGGTCGATGAATTCTTTTCCCATAAGAAGTTATTTACTGATGAATCAACTTTTACTAATCATGGACAATTAAATAAAAGAAAGATGCGCTACTAGTCCGTTGAAAATCCAATGTGGTTTCGTTCGACAAATAGAAGATCAACGTCCATGGAGCTGTAATGTATGGTGTGTATTTTACAAAATCGAATCCTTTCTTTATTGAGGGTACATTAAATGGTCTAAAATATGCTGATTTTTTGTTTTACCAACAATTATTAGACGAAGTTAAAATCTAGCTTACAGATGTGATATCAGCATGATGGCTGTTCGGCTCATAATACAAGCGTTGCATGTGCAGTTTTACACGAAATATTTCCGGAACGCTGGATAGAGGTAGAGGAGGATACATTAACTGGCCTGCACGTTCTCCTGATTTAAATCCTCTATTTTTTTGTATGAGGAACGTTAAGAAACATTGTTTACAATAATGTACCAACTACACAGGAGAATATGAAAGTGCATATTTTGGCTGCATGTGTAAGTATAAATTCAGAAATGACAAAAAGAGTAAGAGAATCATTTAAATATGTCTCCGTCTCCAAAAATGTATTAAAGTCCGAGAGCATCATTTTGAACATCTTAAATAAATTTTTAGTCAGAATAAAGTATAAAATATCTCGTACAACTTACTTTATTGCAACACATTTTATTGCTAACATTGCTATTGTTAGTATTGTTTTCCTATGTATTGCGCATAATATTGCTAAATATTGTTAATGTGTTGCTACGTATTGCTAGTACTATCAAACTCTAGATACAATATGAGGCAACAATGACAAGAACAGCGATAGAAATAGCATGGAAATAAACGATAATTGTTATCTCTCGTTGCACAATGCCGCGAAAGAAATGAAAAACCAATTTGATTTTATTGACTGTAGTATATTCTTTCTATCTGCTTCAAAGTATAGCACATTTAAACAAAATATAAAATCTGAACGCTCATTGATAGGCTATAAGGTGATAGACACAGAATTCCAATTCGGAAATTTATCGTTATTGTCTTATTCTGTATTCCTATATGTATTGATATATACAGGATGCGTTACCAAAATCCTGACAAATTTCAATTTAAATTTTCCGCTATAGCGACTGTGCTTCCGCCAGACGTTGTTGTTGGCGTCCGAGAAAGCCCGATTTCTAGTAAAATGACCGCGATGTTGAAACCAAGTGCGAAGTATAATTGAAGACTCGCGATCATACTCGAAGGTTTTTGCGCTGGGCGCTCATCAACGGAAATAATTTGGTTCTTTGGATACCCGAGATCAACCGTTTATGATGTGGCAAAATATACGGCTTTAAAACAATATAACGAAGGTTTCAGTATGCCAATAAAGAGTCATTCAAAAGAATGCAATGTACCTCCGTAGTCGTTGAAAGGGTTCAAACGTTGATTTCGGATAACCCAGGCCAATCGTAGCGAAAATTAGCATCGATTGTTGGTATAAGCAAGTCAATAATGCATCGAATTGCCGAGAAAGACCTTTGATACAAATCATACACATTAAAGATACGACAGATGCTCTCTGAGGCTGCCAGGACAGTCGCTGCAATCTGCTATTGTGTTCTTTGAAAAATGAAACGTCGAGACGAATCAGATTCTTTTCTGACGAAAAAATTTTTACTGTTGATGCCAAAATCAATCGGAAAAATGACGATGACTCGCCTACAACTCCGAGAATGTCTCTGTTATTGCCAGAACGAAATTTCCAGCCAATGTTCTAGGTGTGCCAACGTGCTAGGTATTGTGTCTAATGAGAGTGATGTCATGCCACATTTCTTTAAAAAAGAGGAAACTGTCATAAAAGAAGTGTAATGCGCGTTTTGATGGATGTAGTGGATGGAAAACTATGGCGTCCAGAAAACCATATGTTTTTCAGCGGAACGGTGCACTGGCTCATACGAGTTATTTGATTCAAAATTGGTTCTCAGACAACATCGATATGTTTTAGTGGAATTCAAGGAATTCTGGCCTTCCAACAGCCCAGATTTAAATCCCTTGGACTACTAAGTGTAGAGCGTAATTGAAAGGATCACAAACAAGTTTCGGCATCCCAATGTGACGTCATTAAGGATCGCTATTGAGGCAGCATTCATCGCATGAACAGCGCTATATAACAGTGTGCGTGCAAACGCTTCAGAGAGAATGGAGGAGCCTCAATCATTCAAGCTAATGAGGGATATATCGAATAATTGTGCTCTAGGACCCCAAATGTCATGTAAAAGAATTTTTTGCAATATTGGGAGTATAAATTAATTCGGTCCGTTCAAAAATGCATTTCATAACAAAATGAATGAACAGATCAATTAAAGTAGTGCCCATCGCTGCCTACTACTTTTTTCCATCTCTCAGGTAATTTTCGAATTCCATCTCGAAAAATGACTCTTTGGAGGCGATCCAATTTTCGATTTCTGCGAAAGAAGTGAACCGGTGACTTGCTGCATCCTTTAGAACAACCAGTAATTAGAAGGAGCAATGTCCGGAGAATACGGCATGTGCGGTAAAACATTCCATTTGAGCGTTTCCAAATATTTTTTTACGACTTTAGCGACAGTGAGGCCGAACGTTGTCATTAAGAAGAATAATTTTATCATGTCTTTGCTCGTATTCCGGCCGTTTTTCTCGCAATGCACGACTAAAACGAATTAATTGTAGCCGATACCGATCACCCGTAATGGATCGCCACGTTTCAGCAGTTCATAGTAAACAAAACCTTTTTGGTCCCACCAGATACAGAGCATGATCTTCGAACCATGAATATTCGGCCGTGGTGTTGATGTTGAGGTCGATGGCAACGATTGACCCGGCTTAGCATAGTATTTTTTCTTCTTGGGATTATCATAGAATATTCACTTCTCATCTCCAATCAGTCACAATCCAATGCAAAAAACCTTTTCTTTGTTGTTTTTGAATCAGCTGTTCGCAAGTGAAAAATCGCCTTTCAACATCTCTCGGTTTCAGTTCATAAGACAATTTCTTTGTTTTTGAGTCATTCCCATAGCTCTCAATCATACAAAAACGGCTTGTTGAGTTACTCCCAATGATTCTGCAAGCTCCTCTTGCGTTTGACTCTGATCTTCGAGTAATGCCTCTAATTTTTTGTCTTCGAATTTTTTTGGCTGTCCAGAGCGAGGCTTGTCTTCAACGCTAAAATCTCCATCCTTGAAACGTCGAAACCATTCCCTACATTTATCAGTTGCAGCAGTGTCACTATAAACTTCGACAAGCATTCGGGCTTCAGCCGCACTTTTCTTCCAATTAAAGCAGAAAATCAAAACCTCCCGCAAATGCTACTTGATTAACACAAAATTCGACATTTCAAACACAGTAAAAATCAAGGTTTTTGTATGAAACTCAAAGCGATAAAAACTGAATATTATTAGCAGTTTAACCTCTCTGAAACCGCCAAAATCAGCTGTCACTATGAACCATTCACAACAGCTGGAGCCATTTTTAGGGAAACGGACCGAACTAATTTGTACTCCCAATATTTAATTTTTTATTAAAAACATTTTGTTTAAAGAAATTGTTCGATTCATTTGGATTTTGATGACGCACATTCCCGAATATCATTGTAAATTCCTCTATTTCTATCGCTATTGCTATTGTTATTTCTATCGCTACTGTTGTTGTCTGCATTGTGTTTAGTGCTTTATTGCCTGTTTTATTATTATACTGCCGTTATAATATATTTCTAAAGAAATGTACATTGATTGTGTGCTATAGTGTGTTGATTCTTAGCCAGACTTCTTTTTTAGTACGATAAGAAACCTATTCGAAAAACTTCTTATCTAATAAATCAATAATGGTTTGTGAGATTAGAATAGCTCAATATTTATTTTACAAATATTGATACGGAAAACAAAATATCTCAATGTAGATTTTCTTATGAATGGAACAAAAACGTAAGAAATGAAAATATAACATACCCACTTATTTAATGTGATAAATATCTGAAGTACATAAATTTACTTCAAACTTCGCAGCATACTGGAATGTCGCGAAGATGCGTCTTTTTATTACAGTTGGCACTACTATTATCAACTATTGCAAATATATAAAGGGTACTCATATTACCTGCGATGCTCATAATATCCTACTCTAAGATTGTTGTATTGCTCGTTTCTGCAATTTCTCATGTTTTCGCATAATCTCATTTCAGAATGATCACGGCGCTACCAGTACCTTCGGTGAAGGTCTTTCATAAAACTTATTACCAGGAAAAAAGTTCGCGAATAGGAAATAGTCAGCCGGGTAGCCCATTGGCGGAAAGCGAGGCAGTACTAACGATAGATAAGGAACCTCCGGAATATTATTTCTGCGGACAGGTAAGAACTTTGTCTCATTTTGCCATTCCTAGATATTGTTCGTTAGGAGGAACGCATTGAACGGTAGACGTTGAACACTTCTTAACATAAACATATACAGGAATGCAAAATGTAGCATTGGAATAGAATATATATACCTACGTTGTGCAGTTTCGGTCCAATTCGGATAGAATTACATTGTCTAAATTGTAGCTTGTAGCTTTCATCTTATTGAATGAAAAAGAAAAAAGAATCGATCACTCAACATCTTCCAATCTCATTTATAGTTGCGATTAGTAGTAATATTATCACTATAAAACACAAGCTTATATGTATAGTCAATTAGTAGCTCTCGAGTTGTGTCGATGATTACGGCAATTAGAATGCAACTTGTGTCGGCGTGTGCACAAAAATATCTAGAGATTTTATAATTGGAAACCACCTGATATTATTTTAGGTCAATTCGCTGTATGTCGTCGTCGGCTCGTTGCTGATGGGAGCAGTAGTGCTAGTCGTCGGTTTGGTACAACTCGCACCAGGTGCAGAAGCTGCTCAGAACTCAGCAGCTTTGATCGCCACAGGAAGCAGTCTTTTAGTAATAGGAGCATTCCTCGCACCGTTACGAGCGATTTGTATCAAAAGGCAGAACGTGGCTCAAAAGGAAAATACTCATCAGCGCAGCGTCACCAGTATAGACATGTTGCTGGCCCAGCATAGGTAAAGTGGTCATTGTTCTTTGACTTTTTATTTCGCGAAAATATACAAATCTTTTCCGTTCCTTTTTCTTTTCTTAAAAAGACATTATCTTTTTAAGAAAAGATCTTTAGTCTCAAACAGAAAAACTCTCAATTCATAGTCTTCAAGCATCACTACCTGCATTAGGTACATCGAAAATGTAGAAAAAGTATTTCAAAGCTTTATTTGTAACAAGGTTTAATTTGTAACTAGGTTTAAAAAACGAATACACTCACATTCACTCACTCACCCATTCATCCGCATGCATGCACGCACACAATATCAAATTTTATTTTATAAATGTATGAAGATCAATCGGCTATGAATTAAAAAAAAAAGTTATAGATTATTTAAAAACTATTATGAATCATAGATAATCAAGAGAATAAAGAAATAACAAATTTTTTAAAAACACAATTGTAAAATAGAACTCTGTAAAATATTACATCAAAAGTTGAGTAGTAATCCGGCAATAATCTATGAATATAAGTAGATAATTAATTATCTATAAAATTTCTCGATCAAAATTTAAAAATTACACACAAGCCTACAAAATTATAAGGGTCCTAAAAGATACAAAAATTAGAATAATGACTAGAATAATGAATTTTGGTTGTTAAATCCGAATTCGTCAACGAAAACCATGTCAGATCGTCTACCATATCAGATTTTTGAGATAAATGGGATAATATGGGCTAAATTTTCTATTTTTAGCGAATTTTCCTATTTTTAAGGCTGTTATGACTGATCAAATTATGTTTTTATGAATGTTTACATTCTCTCAGCGACATCCTAAAACGCTATTTTTATCTTGAAATTGCGATTTTTTTTTATTTCTGTACGATTTTTTTTTTTACCATTAGCGAGGATTTGGAGATGGAAACTTTTCGATGATGAGACTATGCACTGCCAAAATGATAAAAAATTGACAACTCAATAAATTATAAAGTAAATATTTTGAAAATTGATTATATATATCCATAGGTTATTAATGTCAGAATTACAAAATTTAAAATAGTGAATCAAAAATAACTCCTGCTTAATCAAACCTGACTTACCCAGATCAGTAGCTTTATTATTTGGATCAGCGACAAAAATTACGTAGGAAGTCACTGCTGTGCTTCTTTATAACACCCTTGTAGATCTATGCTATTCAACTATGCCTTTTACCATTAGAGAATTCCATTTCGCTGCTTGACTGAGGAATAAAAAAAAAGAAAAAAAAATTGAGAATTATCTATTAAAATATAAAAAACATTAAGTATTAATGTGAAATGTTATGTGATTATCATATTTTGAAATTTTGAGATCAATCGCAGATCGTCGCGAAAATCAAGTCAGTTTCTGAAAAAATGTAGCTATCTTTGGACGTTTTCCAGCAAAAGATCCCTTTTATACCGAGCATTTGATATGCGTATATTATTAACTACAGTAACTTAATTCCTATTAAATAAATTATTAATTATTAATTAAATATTTTAATTTCAGCAATGTATTTGAACAATGATGTATTAAATTGGCATATTATCAATTGGCATCAAAATATTAATTAAATACGCATATCATATATATGTTTATATTAGGTGTACAACTTTGCTTCCGCCGTTTTCCTATAGATGGCTTTAGCGGTAAGTGATAGTCGAAATAAATAGATCATAGACGTCATACAATAAACTTGGGCATCTATCAACATAACCCCATAGAAACATTAATCGATTTGTGTCTGCATCATAAAGTTATTCTCGATTGAAAATGTCAGTTTACGAGCCAAATTCTCATCATTTGAGGGAGGTTTTAATTTTTTGCTTCAATATGAAGAAATCTGCGGCTGAGGCTCATCGAATGCTCTCGAATACTTATGGTGAGGCCGTTATTAGTGAAAGAACGTGTCGTGAGTGGTTTCAACACTTCAAGAACGGTGATTTTGACGTCGAAGACCGGCATAGCGGTGGAAGAGAGAAGATTCGAAGATGCAGAATTGGAGGCATTACTTGAGCAAGATTCGTGTCAAAATCAAGAAGAATTGGCACGATCATTGGGAGTGACTCAACAAGCCATTTCAAAACGCCTCAAAGCCATGGGAATGATTTAGAAGCAAGGAAATTGGGTGCCGTCCGAATTGAAGCCGAGAAATGTTGAACGGCGTTTGTTTGCTTGTGAACAGCTGCTTGAAAGGCAAAGACGGAAGGGATTTCTGCATCGCATTGTGACTGGGGACGAAAAATGGGTTCATTACGATAATCCCAAGCGCAGAAAATCATGGGGAGTTCCCGGCTTTGCTTCCACGTCGACGACCAAACCGAATATTCACGGCTCCAAGGTCATGCTCTGTATTTGGTGGGACCAGCTCGGCGTAGTATATTATGAACTGTTAAAACCGATTGAAACAATCACAGGCGATCGGTATCGAACGCAATTGATGCGTTTGAGCCGAGCATTGAAAGACAAACGGCCGTAATACAACGAGAGACACGATAAAGTGATTTTGCAGCATGACAATGCTCGACCCCATGTTGCGAAAGTGGTCAAGACATACTTGGAAACGTTGAAATGGGAAATCCTACCCCACCCGCCGTATTCTCCAGATGTTGCTCTCTGACTATCACTTGTTTCGATGGCACACGGCCTGGTTGACCAGCACTTCCGGTCTTATGAAGAAGTAAAAAATTGGATCGATTCGTGGATAGCCTCAAAAGATGACCAGTTTTTTCGACGCGGGATTCGTACGCTACCCGAAAGATGGGAGAAAGTAGTGGCCAGCGATGGACAATACTTTGAATCATAAATGTATAACCAGTTTTTTACAATAAAGCCTCGAATTTCAGAAAAAAACGGCGGAAGCAAAGTTGTACACCTAATATATATCGCGAAATTAACATAATTTAATAGACTGTTACTAATTAATATTTTTACCAAGCACGCATATTAAAAACGATCAGTTTTTATAGAAGTTCGTGTGACTATTAAAATTTAAGTGATTAAAGCCCGATTGTACCAACGTTACTTCGATTTTAAGTGAGACTTACTCTCTGTCTATCTCTTTTTTGGCTTAAAACAAAATATAAACAGATAGAGTTTTAAGCATGGTGGAAGAATTACATGGTGCAGTTCGGCCAAACCACGCTTACTTTTGCTGCTCATCGTCAATAGCGGAAGGACTACCAACTATGAAATATGGCAGTATTCATAGTCCGTTTTTATTTTAAAACCATTTTAAATAATGTCTTAAGATGCTAATATGGTCCTCGGATTGACTTATGACATCTTAAGACTGTATTTAAGACAGTCTTAAATGTAAGAATCGACTATGGATATGAGCCTGTTTTGCATCGTGAAATTCCTTATGCAAGGAAAGATTCAGTATTAATTTCATTGACGGAAAACAGACCGGTATTCACAGTCGATTCTTACATTTAAGACATCTTAAGATGTCATAAATCAATTCGAAGACTATATTATCATCTTAAGACATTATTTAAGATGGTTTTAAAATAAAAACGGATTATGAATATCGCCCCATGTTTTTTTCACAGTAACCTTCTGCATTATGAACAGTCCGTAGACGGAGAGAGATTTAGAAAGAGACACTGTCCAACTGCACACATCATGTTATCCCTTCCACTATGGTTTTAAATTTCGTTTAAAGTCAAAGTAACATTGGTGCAACCGGGCATAAAGCCGTTCTACAATATAGTAAGCAGTAAGAAGCAAGTTTTTGCGCACCTTATCGCGCCTTATCTCATAATAAGCTTTGATTGGCAGTAAAGTAATAAGGCGTACGAAATGAGAATAACCCATTTCGCTTACTCTCGGTCTTAATGCTTTACACCTCCTTCTTACGACAATATTACTACTGCATTGTAGAATGGGCTTAAGAGTAAGAAACTGATAATACTGTATTAATTTCATGATTTGTTAGTTTCATAACATTTATATATATTTAAAACTTAATAATACTTGATTTTTATTTAAAACTGATTTTAATGTTATTATCCAAGTTTGATTATTAATAAAGATGACAACTGGAGAGAAAAATTGTAATTTTTCGACAATATATAAAATATTATAGCATTAAAATTATGCGTACTTATTTATACAGCATTTATATAATAAAACATCACGAATCTAATGTACAATCAAAATATTTATGTTAATCGCAAATTTTTATTAATTGTCGATAATATCATCGTTTCTTATTCTCGGGCTCCATAGATAATTTGATTGATAATTGAAAATTTGTCCAAGATCGACCATTTTTAATATCTCATTGGTGACGATGTAAATTATGCCATAATTGACACAATGTAACACAGTGAATCATTTCATTCTTATTGTTTGATAATATTAAACAAAGATGGAATGATTTACTGTGTCATTAATGTTTCTTATTGCAAAACATTTTTTAAAAGTCTATTTCGAAGTTTTGTTTCGCAAGGGTGATCATGCTTCCTTATTCATGTGCTAGAAATGTGATTCCCTGCGATGTGATTCATCATCGTGATTTCATTGTATCGGCAGGGACTTCACGGTCCTGACGCCCGATGAACTCGAGGACCTCGTGAGCCGGCCGGTGTCCAATAATATGGAGAACAAGATGCAGCAGGATCACAACACCTAGGTACTAATTGCTTCGAGGAGGGTATCACCTTCCGCGTTGTCATCATTTTCGCCGTGCTCGAACGTCACTATCGTCCGTTGTGTTGCCAGGATCAAGCTCCTCCATTTTATCACACATCATTACGATACGCGCGAGTATAGTTTGGTTTAATTGATGTGCATTCATACCACCGCCGTTGTTAGCATAGGACCACAAGGACCCTCCATACATATTTTTTCTAACGCGTGCACCGCGCAGTTGTGAAACCCACAAACGAGACGCGGAATTTTCGATATATTTCGGTATATTTTACTTACTCGCCAACATGAGCGAGAAGATAGCCGATGCATGGCACATAAATTTTATCATTTCCCAAAATATTCTGGTAACGATCAGAGAAGTTTCGTCGATTCATTCTGCCATCGAGATGAATCAGCCGTGCGAAATGGTTTCCAAATATATGTACAAATTCGAAATCTCATAAGCGTTTTTGAAAAACTTATGTTTTTTATTTTATGTATGGCCACAATCGTTTATACTTGTATTTTTTATTTGATTGCGAAAGTTTTTGAAGAAAATTAGTCTCTTTCGAATCACACGCTTTTGATTATCTAAAACACGATTATTATTATGAATATTTGTGTGATAAATATCATTGTAGCTTTGCTTCAATTTAAATATTGCTGAAATTTTATAATATTTTCACTGCAGGAAAACCTGTATCTTAATGTCTTCAAAATACGATTTCTTACTAAAGTTGTAACGGGTGTTATTTCTTCAAAGACTAAATTGTGTTCAATTTACGAGTAAATGAGGTATGATAGCGATTAACTTTGTCGTGAATTTCCATACATACTTACGATAGAATTTGGAAATTTTCACGATTTGTTTAGTAGGGCGCTAAAAACAACAAACGATATCACGCGTATAGATGTTCTCACAATATCTCGCGGTTAATTAATTCATTAAATATTTAAGAATGTGCTTGTCACAAACGTTTTAAAGAGATTTGCGCGATGTGTGTAGCCTTATGTTGACATAATGTTAAGATCGTTTGTTCAGACGAAAGATAAAACGACATAATAAGTTAGGAATGAATGAGTAACGATGGGAGTAATGAAATATCGAGGTCGATATATACTTAGAGTACAGAAGAAACAGGTCTTTTGCTTTCTGTATAATCAACGTTAATCGGTGCCGATTGACATCAAGAATATATACGTGTTATCTTATGAGACCGCACATAGTAAAAGCAGGTTTAGACTTATCTGCATATACCGGCGCGAATGAATTAATCAGAACGAATTTTTAGTTTTCTCGATTGTATATAAATGCCGATAAAATCTTCAAACACTAAAATGGATAATGATAATTTAATTTTATAAGATTTCCCATTGGGATAAATAACATAAAAATCCAATAGATAAATTCTTTAAAAATATTGGAAAATAGTAAGCAAAGAATTTTAAACTTTTATGACGTATTATGTGATTTAATATTTAAATTCAATATTAAATTAATTATGTTAAATTAAGCTTATAAATAATAGAAAAGAATAGTAATTTGTCAGAGACACAATTAATTAATTATAAGATATCGATTCAGAAAGTGACAGGTTTCCTGCTTTAATAAGCATTTATTGTGTCCACCTTAAATGCCGAATCGTGTCCGATTCAGAAAACAGAAAATCTGCTTTCTTTATGCTCGTATCCTTATACAGAATGATGTGCAAAAAGTAGAAAATATCAATAGTGCGGACATATGCATTATATGTATGTGTGCGCGTCTAACCCATTGAGTTTCAAAGTTTCCGACAAAGATTTGTGTGTCAAAAGTAATTATAACTAACTCTCATCTTCTAAACTTCTGAGTTTCTAATTGCTCTGGGATATGGGAGCTTGATTTATAAATTCTCAAAACGAAATCAAGGAGGTTGCGAAAATACTCGAAAATATTGATTTTCACTTTTTATGTGTCATCAGATGCTCAAAGGATAGATATCAGATGTCAAATCTTGTTAGAAAAATAAGAAAGAATTTTAGGCCATTCACGTTCGGTTATTAATCATCATATATAATTTTGTAGATAATAATGGCAGTATTCAAGAAAAAGTTTAACTTCTCAAATTTTCGCCGAAAGTAGTTCTGTATTGTTCATTCTATATCATTCATTCTGGTTTTCATTTTATTATCTATGCTTTCATGCCTTCAATCATCTAAAATTCTTTACTCTACAATTGAATGTCACTTCTAGAATTCTTATTTTTATTATTATCCTCTAAAAGTATTTTTTTGCGTCCAAGCCATGATATAGGAGCTAATAATCTCGCTAATTATAATATTGATATATATAATATTGATATTGTTAATCCAATATTTTTTAAAGTTCGAACACAGTCCAGGCATGTTAATAAAACATGATACTATGTCTATAACTGTAGCAAAATAGTGAAGAAAAGATACTATTAAAGAATATTACTAAAGAAGATGTATAAGAAGAAAGTACTCGTATTATAGATTGCTTTGTTCATATTATCTTGATTATTTGGTACCTAGGATACGCTAAATATCTTCCCAATGACAATACGGATATCTTCTGAGCATAGCAATGACAAATTTGTAGTGTTGGACAGTTCGAATGATAAGCCATCGATCGAATAAAATCATTAGAAAGTTAGAACTTTTCGGCGGGGATTTAAGGACCTAACCTTACTTTTTCTTAAATATTACTATTATTATCTACAAAATGATATGTGATTGATGACTGGACGCGGATAGCCCTTACAAAAATAGGCGAAGTTCTTTTGACATTTGTCCTCACTGCAATTTATTGATTCTTTATCGATTCATTTATGGTGGAAATAATATTTCCATCATGAATTCACCTTTGACAAAATTTCTAGCTTGAGGGCAAGAAACTCCTATTCCGTGAGGGCCGCGAAAGAGAAAGCACGCAGACAGAAATGGCACTTAACATAGAAATATAAAATCATAAATATCAAAACATTATAGGAGGCTAATAATAAATGATTCCGATCGCATTTATTTACTTTGTATATTAATATAAAAAGAATATCGTTTAGATTTATAAATTGTCTGCAAATATTTCATAAGGTTATTATAAAAAATACAGAATTTTAACATATGTGTTTACAGATTAAACACAATCTTATCAAATTCATTGTTTAATATAGAATTGATAAATTGACACACAACAAAATATATTAATGATACGTCTGCAGAAACAGAAAAACAATAAAATATTGATTGAATTTTTATTATTGCGATAGTCTCAAGTTCTTTTTACGTAAGAATATTTATTTCAAATGAGCGGATGAATGCAGTTTCGAGGAGAAAACATATCTACCGACTCATATGAGTTATACGCGAGTAGAGATATATTTTTATTGTCATTCTATATAGTGACTGCACACAAAGAGAAAAATAACGATTATGAATAAGAATTATCCATGTTTGTCGTTCTAAACAAGATTCGCATTTGCCGTAAAAACGCGTTTATACCTTGATGGAAAAGTAGTGGCTGATCAGAACTCGTGCTGATAGTAAGTAGTAAAACCGAAATTGTAAACTATCAGCGCGAGTTCTGATTGGCTGCTGCTTTTCCGTCAAGATATGAATGCACCCTAAGATTTCTATTGAATGTTTACTTTAATTTCAGAGACTAGAAGTTATTGTAAAATTTTTATTAATTTAATATTAATACGTTAAACACAGCTAATTTTGTTTTAATTTCCGTTTAAGCGAGGAGAAATGCTCAACCAATGTAAGTTTAAGTTTAAGAAATGTAAACAAGAGATGAGCGGTAAGAAGGTGATTCACAGAATTATCTAGAAATTATTGCATGTAAAAGTTTTAATTGTAACCGTAAGTCCATAAAAAGATAAAGATAAAGATATTGATTGCTACCACATCCTTATAAATCAACGCTATTTAAACGGAAAGTTCAACATCGGTCTCCAGAGATCGACATCGCGTTTAACGTATTAATAATAAATTCTATTTGCAGAAAAATTTTAGTCACGGCAGAAAGATGCGTTTAATTGTATTTTAAAATTACTCTTAAATTCGTCGCGTATATTTTCGATCATCGTTTAAGAAAAACTAGGAGGAAACCCAACTTTCTGCAAGGAAATCTGCAAACGAAATCACCACTCTGTTCTCGCTGGGATATATCATTTTGCTGCCGTAGGAACCGAAATGTACCGCGATTTTGTAGAGTAAAATACAACAGGGAAATACATATATGAATGTGCAGTTATCACCGCACCAGGATCAAGAACGATAATATATTAAAGATCCAATCTACCTTGTGGCTTGAAAAAAGGTGATTTTTTGGAATTTTTTTCGAAAAAAATAATGAAGATACATACTTCATTGGATGCACTCTGCATGAAGCGCATGATGTATCGTTTTATTCTTTTTTATTATTGGTGAACAACAAGAACAATGATGCGCTTTACTCGGAACAGACCTATTGTTTTTACATGTTATTTTACATGTTATTACATTCAGTGAGAAATGATAATGGAATCGACATCGATTTTATTGTTTTACTGTATTTTATTGTATTACTGAATACTTTTCTCTTTAATTTTATATTTTATAAAGTCAATTTGTTGACTGTAAATTTACGTATTTAAAATTTCGGGAAAAAAACCTCTCCGATTTGAACATGACGCCAAAATGCTGCAGCAATGAAAATACTCTTATATTCTGTAACTCGTTATGACAGTAAGAATGTTGTTACATTTTGTTGCGCAACGACAATAACGATATTGTTAGTCATAACTATTTACAGAATATAGAGGCAGGTCGCATTAGTCATTTCAAAAGAATTCAACAAAAATTTTTTCTATTCAGAAAGAATGTGTCTATTGAATAGATTATAATACTTGGTTTTGAAAAAAAAATTAATAAAACGGAGATTATTTGAAAGAAAAGTTCAATTCTTTTTTCTTAAATTGTGTTCTTATTTTTGCGATAGAAAAAGTATTATTGATATTGATATAATTATAGTCTATCTAGTAGAAAAAACACTGCTCTATAATTGTGCAAATTTTGAAAACAATACTGTTACGCCCGCGCGACTGATTTACGAGGTCGCGTTCGCAAATGCGCATTCTCGAACCGCTGAAATGAACATGAATGTTAAGAAGAAGAACAAGAAGCATTTATTAATGCAAAATACAGAACAGAACATAGCGAAAGATGAAGCAATCAAGAGATACATCCGTACTGATAGC